CCGGTCCCCGAAACAGGAAGAGGAGCACCCGGCGGCGGCCGGGTGATCCGACTGGTAGTTTATATTCCTTGTGATATTAGCACGCGCGGCTACTAGCGATGGCGTGCATACGCTGACAACTTTCAAACTGCGGCGTTTTTACTGCTTATCCCGTCCGCTTTCAGCCTCTCCGCTCCGCGCACGTGAATTGTCTGCCATTCACAACGCTACGCTACGGGATCTTTTTGACGTATGCTCTCTGTCGGCTCATTCAGCTTCCTTCGCCGTATGGTGGTATGAAAACTCACAATGGAGGTCTTTCAGGTCGTGGCGCGCTTTTTGAAATGGTTTGTTGCTTGTTGTAGGGGTCCATACAAGGGTCACAAAAATGGGTTTCATTTTTGCTATGCGTTTCTGGGGAGGAAGAAACTGAGTGAAAAGGTGATATTGTTTGTTAACTGCTGTTTAACGCCGCAGTACGCGATTCGAAAGCTATCACAAGAATGCTGAGTTCATGGGCAAAAGTCGGATCCGACTTTTGCCCATAACTCATCATTCTTGCGAGTGAAAAGGATTTGACAAGCATGGGCGATTTTAACTATCCGAATGAGCTCCGTTCTGATTGTAACTTCGAGCATGCATAGTTTATGAGGTGCTCGTTAATTAGGCTTTGAAAATAGTTTTAAATAAAGTCAAAATGTAAGTATCATGTAGTAACACACTTGGCATGCACCGACGCAACAGTGATGTTTTTGTCAGCGGTCCCCTCATGCTCACTGTCGGCGGATCGGATGGCGCAGCGGATAACTCGATGGATTCTGGATGGGACGACGATACGGGACTTTGTGGATCGGATCCTCCTTGCGGCAGATTTTTGCATTTTTCAGCTTTCTATTCATTCGCGTTCCTGTGTGTCTAGCAGTGGAAATAAGCCAAGTATATGCCATTTGAAGGCATATTCTTCATTCTGATACCTTACAAACCAGCTCGGTTGTGTGGAGAAGCCTGTTTCCGGGAATGTTCTCGTCTCGTTACGTTAACCTTTCCCTTCATTGATAGACAAATCTAACAACTGTGGTAAAGTTCAACAAAACATGTGAAGCATATGCATCTATTGTACCAACTACACCTAACAAACGCGAGCGATGCTCTTCGACATACCCAGGCCACATAACCGAGCTGGTTTGTAAGATATCAGAATGAAGATTGCCTTCAAATGGCATATACTTGGCTTATTTCCACTGCTAGACACACAGGAACGCGAATGAATAGAAAGCTGAAAATGCAAAAAGTTTACGGCAAGGAGCATCCGATCCACATAGTCCCTATCGTTCCCATGCAGAGTCCATCAATCTATCCGCTGCGTCATCCGATCCGAGCATGAGGGATCGCTGACAAAAAGATCACTGTTGCGTCGGTACATGCCAAGTGTGTTACTACATGATACTTACATTTTGACTTTATTTCAAACTATTTTCGAAGCCTAATTAACGAGCATCTTATGACCTATGCATGCTCAGTAACATTCAGGACGGAGAACGAACATAAAATAGTTTAAATCGCCCATTCCTGTCAAATTCTTTTCACTCAGTTTTTGACCTACCCAGAAACGCATAGCAAAAATGAAACCCATTTTTGTGATCCTTGTATGGACCCCTACAACAAGCAACAAACCATTTCCAAAAAGCGCCGACCTGAAAAACCTCCCTTGTTAGTTGCGATTGTGTACTTGAGGTCTAGAAAAAAGCCCACAGAACTAACCTAGAGTAGCTGAAAAAGGTTCTTGGGCATTATCATTCATACCAGTCGAATACCCG